GTAGTGTATATGATTCGGGGTATGGTTGCGGTGGCCCACAACGAAAAAGAAAAGAAAAAACAAAAAAAAAAAAAAAAAAAAAAAAAAAAAAAAAGGAAAATAGCAAGACCCGAACCCGACCCGAACCCGACCCGAGATAACCGGGTACCCGGAACCCGACCCGAGATAACCGGGTACCCGGTTGCCGGGTACCCGGTTATTTCGGGTCGGGTTCGGGTAATTTTTTTTTTGCAAAAAACCCGAATAACCCGACCCGAATAACCCGAATAACCCGACCCGACCCGAATGCCCACCCCTATCCTCCATGGTCCTCAAATTACAGATAAATTCCTCAAATTAAACTCCACGATCGTGGTATATGGCAGATCGGAGTACCCAATTCTTAACGTCAAAGCTCATTGTTTTCCGGTCATCGTTTCTTTGCTTACAAAATTATCCAACCGTGCACCGGTACGCATTTAGTTTTCGAATTTCTGAAATATATTGGAGATTATTTAATTTTCAATTCCTGCCTGAGTTGAATAAAAGCTTTTATCAGTACATAATTTAGCAGTTTTCTTTTTTACAGGACATAATTTTAGGAGAAGATGTCTCCAAATGGGAGAGGCTGGTTGCAGCTGTATTAAAGAAAGTTCAGCTCTGGCAACTTTTTCACGAGCAATCCAGGAGCCCAAGCATCCGCTCTGAAGCATCGGATTCCAGTTCCAGTTCTAGCTTTGATTTGAGTTATCAAGATCTAGCCTTTCATTTTACAAAGCTGATCCTGGTTTCTGATTTTGGGGCAGATTTTGATGTCGATGCTGAGTTACTCGGCAGGGGCACTTTCGGGAGTTCTTATACTGCAGAGATGGAAAATGGACTCTGCGAATCTTTCGGAACTGGAGTTCAAGGGTATAGTGGAGATTGTTTGAAATGTGCGGCATGAAAATGTGGTTGCGTTAAGGGCATACTATGCTTCAAAAGATGAAAGGGCGATGCTCTATGATTATTACAGCGATGGAAGCGTGTTTGCACTTTTACATGGTAAGTTTGGTAACTATATATTAAGTTGAACTGTTCGACTCTCTTTAACTTCACTTGTTATTGAGGTGTTAATTGTGGTGATTGATCTAAGTATTGTCATGGTTAAGAGTTCGAGGTATCTGCTTTAAATATTTCTCTTTCCTTTCCATGTGATCAGTTTACTGGGGTGGTTGACTAAGTAATCCGGGTTGGGTGTAAACATCTACTAGGTTGCATTTGAATGCAAGAATTTCGATTTGAGGAAAAGATTTTCTGTACAAATCCACCAGAATGTAATAACTTAGAAAGATTAATTCAATCGAAGAGTTAACAATTTGAAACTAGTATAAAATGAAGCAATTGGATTTATTATCATTGATTTAAAATCCTTCAAACGAAAACTTAGTGCTTCGTTCATTGTTGCTTCAGTACTTGGTTGAAAAATATCATCAATTTAGTGTCATTATTTCTTGCTTCAATCAACATAGTTGTCACACGCTAAGTAGGCGAAAGTGAAATACAAATGATCTTATGCATGTTCTCATGTTTTCCAGGACAAACTGGCGAACATCGGGCTTCTGTAGACTGGGACACGAGGCTAAAAATTGCTATTGGTGCAGCGAGGGGTATCGCTGAAATACACACATATAATGGTGGGAATCTTGTCCATGGAAACATAAAGGCGTCTAATATATTCCTCAATCCACTAAACTATGGGCGTGTGTCTGATCTTGGTTTGACGAACATGTTAACAGCAACATTCGTGCCGAAAGCACTGTGCTACGCTCCAGAAATCAAGAAAACTCAAAATGTTTCGCAAGCATCAAATGTCTATAGCTTTGGGATTCTGCTTCGTGAACTCATCACTAGAAAGTCCCCTGTAAATATTGTAAATGGTCCCAAGGCTGTTGACCTGGTCAAGTTGGTTAATTCTGTTAAAAGGAATGAGAAATTCGCTAAGGTATTCGATGTGGATATATTGAAGAACTCTACCGTAAAGGAAAATATGGTGAAGATGGCGCAAATAGGAATGAGTTGCGCAGCAAAATCCGTAAAGAAAAGACCGAGCATGTTTGAAGTAGTGAAGATGTTAGAGGATCTTCAGATGATGAATACAGAAAATAGCAATCTGAACACGAAAAGTAGCGATATTCAAATGACGAATAAAAAAGAGCTTGTGTTCGTTGAGAATGGTAACCATCCATTCGAAACTCGACGATTTGTTGAAGGCTTCTGCCAAGGTTCTTGGGAAAGGAACACTTGGCACTTCTTACAAGGCAATATTGTCGGAAACTGATGTCTTGGTCAAGAGATTGAACGATGTGAGTGTTACACTTAACGAATTTCACCACCATTCCCTGATCATTGGAAAAATGAGGCACGGAAATGTTGATCGGATAAGGGCGTACCACTTTTCGAAAGATGAAAACCTCATGGTGTATAATTATCAAGATCGGGGCAGTGTATCTGCATTCTTACACGGTACGTACAACTTCCTTCATATAGATAAAATTAAAGAAAGTGATTATTAAATATTAACTAATCCTTTTGCTTCAACTTTGCAGACAAGACAGTTCCTGATTGGACACCTTTGAACTGGGAGGCTCGTCTAAAAATTGCAATGGGTGCAGCAAGGGGTATTGCCCACATCCACAGACAAGATGGTGGGAAATTTGTGCATGGAAATATAAAATCGTCAAACATATTCCTAAACGGTCAAAATTACTGGCTTGTAGCAAATGCTGGATTGGCAAAACTGGTGGAGCCTATCAGAAGGTCAGTTGTGCGAAATTTAGGACAATTTGCCCCAGAAGTGAATGACACGAGCAACGTGTCACAAGCTTGCGATGTGTATAGTTTTGGGGTTTTCCTGCTTGAACTTGCCACCGGAAAGCCACCTCAGCACACGAATGAAGAGGGTGATGTCGTCTCACTGGTTAGGTGGTTTCAGTTGGTTGTTCGTGCCGAAGGGAGTGACGAAGTGTTTGATGTAGAGATTCTGAGGTATAAAGATGTGGATGAGGCAATGGTACAGTTGCTGCTGATAGCAATTAAATGCGTTGCTTTTTCACCGGAAAGAAGGCCCGTGATGTCTCAAGTAGTGAAGATGTTGGAAGAAATCAGTACTGGGATGAATAAAGAGGAGAAGCCAACCATTCAATCAAGATTGGAAGATGTAGTGGAAGATTTATTGCCTAGGATACATCATGGCTTTTAGCAAATATGGGAACAACCTCTCTCTCTCTCTCTCTCTCTCTCTCTCTCTCTCTCTCTCTCTCTCTCTCTCTCTCTCTCTCTCTCACACACACACACACACACACGCACACACACACACACGCACTGTTTTCGTCTTTTTTCTGTCTCGTTTGGACATTCAGTAATCCAAATGTTAGCCGAAAGGTAAGGGCTGTATTTCTTTATTTCTGAACTCAATGTCACAATGTCTCAATTTTTACTTGCCGGATATTAAATTTTGTGTTTACTATCTTAAAGTGTTATTTCATCCTATATGACACGTCTTTGTTTTTTTCTTTTTTTTTTCTTTTTAATTACGTACTACGAATTATTTGAACATAATGTATATATATTCATATTAAGTATTTTTATAAAAAATCACACGTGGGACAATTTTGGTATCTTTATAAATTTCAATGGGCAAAGTTGGAACAATAGAATTTTGAACTTCGAAGGTTAGATCTATTGAATTTATTGTCACAATTTTGAGGTTTAACGATTTCTTTTATTATTTTTTAAAATAATTAAAAGTCAAGTAATTTAATACCAAAAATAAAAATAAAAAATAGTAGTAGTATTAGAAGAACAAGAAACACCGCACACAAATTTGAATCCTAAATCAACAAGGTAAGTACATATATTCCTTCTAGTAAATAAGGAAAATAAATAATTAAAGCGTGCCCAACATGAAAGTATTGTGATACATGCAAAATCCTACCATATATATATATACATATATTTGCATATATATGGTAAATTACCAATTAATAACTAATTTATTTCCTAATTAGTTCAGGTCTCCATCTCTGAATCATCTATATAAACACCTTCAACATCTATCATAGTAAATCAGAAAAAAGAACAGAAGAAAGAAAAGAAAAATAATAATCAATCACACGCCTGAAGGATTATTAATCCAACAATCATAAACACCATGACAAGAAATCCCAAGAACAAGAAGAGAAACACTAAAGCTGTTTCGAGTATGTTCGATAGCATTCCCCATGAATTGGTTTCCGAAGTTTTAAGCCGAGTTGCATCGTCTTCCATCAAGGACATCTTCAACGCCAAATTAAGGTATGTTTATATTATTAACTTCAAGAAACATGTTCTTGCATGATCATTATGGTTTTACGACCGTTGATCAACTAATTTTTCCGGCAATTTTGACCGGAATGCTAAAACATGTGCATTGCACGTGATATTTGCAGGGATAAAATTGTCCATTCACATACATCTTATATTTTAATATAAATTAATCATTTAAATAAATAAAAAAAAAAAGAAAAAAAACAGAGCTGTAACCCACCGCCCTCCGAAAACCCAACCCATCCCAAGGCCAAGCCAACATCCCATCCCAACTAAAATTTCAATAGTCCAATATCCGCCGCCAGGGATTGTGAGGACGGCGGCGATGGAGGCGGAGCAAATCTCCGCCGCCATAGAGCAGAGGTTGCTCAAGGATAAAACGGTGCCGCCGCCGGCTCCCGTACGACCATCATCAAGAAACAATTCCATAATCAGCCTTCTCTACTTGTCCTCTCCAAAACCCTCTTCCTTTCCCCACCGTTTTCCTTTCCTACATCTCGTTCCTTTGATTCCACCTCTCCCTAACCATCTTCTCCGTTTTCCTCTTGTTCGTCTCTTCCCCGCACCCACTGCCGTATGCTTCCGCTTTCGAGATATCACTTTCGTTTATCAACTTGAGCAGAGTGTGTTGAGAAAGAGGGTCGGAGGTGGTCGTTTGTCTGTGTTGGGCCTGTTATGCTTATTTTAATGTTGATTCGACTTCGAATTTGGTTGTTGTTTGGGAGAATTTGGGATTTAGGGTTTTTCTGGTCGGTTTGTTGCAAATCCAGATATTCTGTGAGTTGTCGAGTTTTCTTTTATTAATTATCAATTGATAATGTGTGTTTGTGCGTGTAATTATCATCTTCAATACCTTAGATATTTATTTTTTTCTAAACATAATTTTTTTTGGGGCACAGCTGCAAGATGTTGAATGAAATCGCCGAAGATACGTACGTGTATCAACGTGTATCGCTAGACGAGGTTCCGATCATACCATGGAAACCGATAAGCCAAGAACAAGTAACATTCTTGAATAGGTGCCTACAGTCTGAAAACCCCGAGTCGTTGTATAGACAAGCAGTTGTAAGTTTCTTGATTTCAAAAAATTAATTACCAACGAACTTTATCGAATTAGTTAATTTACATTAATCAAGATTTAATTAATTTTCTATTTTTTTTATAAATATTTACAGCTCGACTACTTCAGCAGAACGAATCTTGAATCAACGTGCATGCACTTACAGAAAGCGGTGAAAAACGGCCACACGGGCGCTCTGTACGTAACATGCATTGTTTTGCTCTTCAGTGGGGACGAAGAACTCAAGCAACAGGGCATCAAGTTATTGGGGAACATGAAAAAGACGAACGGATTGAAGAGAAGGCTTCGAATTTGCCGCAATAATTTGAATAGCATTCTGGAGATGATTTGGGTGAAGAACCCGGTTTTGCTGGAGCCGCCGGTTTGCTGTACGGCCCAAGATCCGCACCACAGGAAAAGGCGATGGTCTGAAGTAGAGGAAGATGTCACGTGCGAGGCTTGTGTTGCTGATCAAGAGATTAATTTACTTAGTGGTAGATACAATTTTGATTAATCATTTGATTTATTAGCATTATTTGTGAGGTAGCTAGTGTCCATTGTTCCAATTGATAACTTCAAAACTTCAACTTTGTGATTTTCTATAATTAATGATAAATTCACTTGAAAGTCCATTGTAGCCTATTTCTGATTTCCCGCTGATTCTCATTCGAATTTTTTCTACTTTGAAATAATATTCCAATTTCTGTATTTTTTCGAAATTATTTAGATCGGAATCAAAATACATATAAAATTTCCAATTTCGGATCTAACTTTAAGTTACCTAAAATAATTCCAAAAATTCCGATTTCCTAATATTTCACTTAAAAGAATATATATTTGAAAATTTCCTAATTCCGTTACCCATCAATGGACTCTACGACACCCGATTTTTCGATATTAAAAACAACCGAACAAACGACAATACTAAGAGAAAATGCACATCAATTAACAGTAAGTAACAGATTATTTATGCAAAATAATTCAGCAGCTAAACACATTACCTCATATATAATTCTCATGTTAATTAACAGTTCAAATCCTACTAATTGCAATTAGTGGTAAACCCAAACAACATAAACCAAAAGCATCACTCAACATTAACTTGGAAAACATCAGTCCTCTCTTCTTCCTTGATTCTAGGAAGGAATACTTTAAGAACTCCATTCTTCATCTCCGCCTTGATACCGTCTGTCCTGTAGATTCTCTCCGGTAGATCGATTCTGCCGGTGTACCTCCGGCCAGATCCATCTTCCTCGGATTCCTTCTTGCCCTCACCCTTGATTACAAGTGTGTTCTGCTCTACAGAAACCTTCACATCTTCTTTCCCCAATCCAGGCATATCCATTCGAAGGTGGAGACCTTCGCCGGTTTCCTTTGCTTCCCAGTTCCGGCGAAAGGCGGAGGCGGAAACAGGTGATTCCGTGAATCGGTCCATCATGTTCAGTATTTGGGACAAGTTGCTCCTTGCTGAGAATGGATCAAACACACCTGTATTTACATGCAAGTAAATTCAGTAACAGAGAAACATTACTTTGTAGCAAAAGCTATGAGAATTGCATTCCGATGTGAATCTGATTACACAAGCAACGAATAGCTCTCCGACCAACACTTTCCACTGGAATCAATTTCTAGATTGAGCTAGTGATTTTGTGTCCGGCAGATCTGCTAGACTTGGCGATAAATAAATTCAACCGATTTCAGTTTTCAACAACCAATTTCTCACGTGATTTATTTTCCACGCAAAAATAGCTCAAAATATCTACGGCGGCGCGCCGAGAATATTTAAAATGCAGTAAAAAAAATGTATGAAATTTCACGACCAGGTTATCCAGCAGAAAACGGAACAGAATCGCAAAATAAGAAAAATGCACAAAAAAAGTAAAGCAGAAAGATGCGGAGTGAGAGAAACAACTACCGGAGAATGGAGAGAAGACACGGATCTCGGGGCGCCGGCGATCGCCGCCGTCGACGTCGCTGTCGTCGCTGTCGTACTCGCGGACGGCGTTCGTGTTGAAAAGGCGCGACGATGCTGGCTGAGACACCGTACGAGCGGAACGGAGGGACCTAGAGAGGACGCCGGACGAAAGGAGGCGCTTCAGGGCGAGTGATGATACAGCCATTGTTGAAGATTCACGTGTGATACTGTGATGGAAAGCTTGAAGAAGACGAAAACGCACTGCGAATTTCTGAGGGTTTAATAATTGGATGGCAGAAATGTAAGCTTGTCGTATTTATAGAAAATACGCGAATATGTAGAAATTACTAGAGTCGAGAGATATCGAGAAGCTTCCGGAGAATGATCGAACTATTTGGGCCGGATGGGCTTCGGCTTTCTTTTGCAGTTTTAAAATTTCTCCGGCCCAAAATAAATAAATAAAGTGGTTCCATTTAATTATTTAAATTAAGGATGTAGATGTAAACCTTTGTGTTTTTCGATTGCTTTGATTATTGCAATATGTTCTTGCATGGTGTTAGGGTTCTTAGAGCATCTCCGACCGTTTTTATCATTTTTTCACCAAATCCCATTTATGGTGGTGCAAAAATGGGTTCCTCTCCCACCGGTAACACACTATTTTACTCTTCCACCATTTTTAGTGGAAAAATGGTGGTTTTGGTCTCCAATGGGTATCACTAAAATTTAGACCAAATATTAAAAGAATAATATTTCACCATTTCACCACTTATAGGAAATGGAATTTGGTTTGGTCTCCAATGGCATTTCACCATATATACTCCAAAACTATAAATCTAATGTTAATCGTAATTTTATAATATTTTATTTCATAAATATTAATTATAGATCCAATGCTAAGTAATAAATTTTCTTAACGAAATAATTTAAAAATTATGTTATTAATTATAAAAAATTGTCTAAACATGAAATAACATGAACTCAAATTATTTTAAATATAATAAAATCATACATAAACAATTGAAGCTATGTATTTTATGTTATTTTATGAGCTATGTATTTCAATTTAAATGTCCCGTTCTGTATTTCATCAATTAAAGTGTGTTTTGTTAATCAGTTTATTGTTGCTTATTGTATCTTATTAATAGCAATTAGCGTATTAGTTAAGTAAAGAAATAAACTAATAAACATTGATACCAACAAAATAAACAATTTAATTAAAAATAAGCATATTTATATTTTTAGAATTAATGTTTTGTTAATAATAACAAATGTATTTATATTTTAAAAACTAATTTAATAATTAATACCAATGTATTTACGATAAATATGTTAATAAGTTGGTAAGCGGGTGCAATTAGTTAAAATAATCATTTTATATGGTACTTAATAAAATGGTGTTAATTACGCCAAATCCTATCTTCACCTTTATATTTGGTAGGAAAAATAGAATTTGGTGGAAAAAATAGGAAAATGGTGGACCGGTGGGAGATGAAAATTCCTTCACCAAAAAAATTGGTGGAAAAATAGGATTTGAGTATTTCGTGATATGGGGGTTGACCACGGTGGGAGGCTAAAACCAAATCTCTATAATTTTAGGTGTAATGGTGATATAGGAATTTTAAGTGGAAGGCTAAAAACAACTAAGTTAGATAAAAAAATGGTGTTATGGTGTCCGGTCGGAGATGCTCTTATCTCACCATCACTAATTGTACAATAGATCAACTGAATTGAAGCTGATTCTTTATGTATTTTGCTTTTACTACTATTTAGGATGTACTATTAAAGAATGTTATTTACAATGAGATGGACATTTAAAAAAAAAAATCCACTTTACAATATTTGGCCATATTTCATATTGAAATAAAAGTATTAGAATTAATTAATTCCTTAATAAATAAGTAAAATGTTATAGTTACATCTCTGGTAGTCCTAGCCTTAGCTAATTAGTACACGTCTTGACCTTCTCCATTGTAGCTTGATCTATCTCGATCTACTTTCGTGTATTTTTGGTTTTGATTCTTAAATTTCGAGGACTCTCCCAACCCATACATGAGCTGTGGTAGATTCAACATCGCATGTTAACATTGAATCGAAAATTTGCGAAAATAGTGTGCAATTAAACTAGTGCAAAGAATTAAGTAAACGACCATTATCGAGAAACTATGTTAAATCGAACAAATGTAACAGCTGTACGAACAGCCGAATTGGCATTATATTATACACCATTTTCGCCAAGAACAAATATACCAGAAATTAACCCCTGAAGCAGCACCGAATACAAAGAAACGAAACGGAACACATCCATGCGAAAATTAAATCAGCATCAAATTAAACCACATTGTCTCGAGTTATTAACAATTCCACTTCACCATATTTAACAATTGTTAGAAAGAAACTACATCACTCCACATTGACCTGGAAAACACCAGTCCTCTCTTCTTCCTTGATCTTGGGAAGGAACACTTTGAGAACCCCATTCTTCATCTCCGCCTTGATAGCATCCGTCTTGTAGATTTTATCCGGTAAATCGATTCTGCTGGTGTACCTAGGCCCAGCCTTATAATCCTCGAAATCCTTATTGCCCTCACCTTTGATAACAAGTGTGTTCTGCTCCACAGAAACCTTCACATCTTCCTTGCCCAATCCAGGCATATCCATTCGCAGATGAATCCCTTCGTCAGCTTCCTTTACATCCCAGTTCCGGCGAAGGCCGGAATCAGCAACAGGTGACTCGATGTATTGGTCTATCATGTTCAGAACCTGGCTCAAGTTGCTTCGTCTCGAAATCAAACACCCCTGTATATGCAAGTAAAATCAATAACATAATTGTTAGCTGGTAACTACACTTTGATATATGAAATATATCGAACTTGAGATTTGTTGGGCGTTCAATCCGATTTCAGTTTCAACAAGGAACTATTTCACATAAATTATCCAGATGATTCTTTCTCCACACAATTAGCTCTAAGCATCTACGGCGGCTAATATCGTAAAACAATGCAGCAGAAACAGATCATATTTCACAACCTAACTCCACATCATATCAAGTAACCAACGTAAAACGAAACAGAATGTCGAAAATACGAAAACGCACAAGTAAACACGGAATCATGGGGTGAGAGAAACAACTACAAGTGATCTGTGTGCGCTAGATCTTGCGAAAAATGATTCAATCCGATTTCAGTTCCGATAACCACTATCATACACAATGTAGTTAGATAATTCCTTCACCATACAAGTAAATCGAAACATCTACAGCTTGCTGAGATGTAAAAAATGCAACAGAAACATATCAAAATTCACAAGCCAACAATATAGAATAAATAGCATGACAAAAAATACAATACGCAGCGTACACAAAGAAATGTAGTGAGAGAAACAACTACCAGAGAACCACTGGCGGAACTAGGGGTGGGCAGGCGCGGGGCCATGACCCCCCAAGATTTTGCTTATTTACTACTAATTACTAAGGGTAAATTACACCCACACCCCTGAGGTATGCTTAAATAACTTTAAGGTCCACGTGGTATCGATAATTACATTCACCCCCTTGTTACGTAGTTATAAACTCTAATGGGATAATGCATTGGATAAGTTATTACGATAGAGTTCTAACGGACTATTGGTTTCAGGAAGTGGTGGAGACAATAAAGAGTTATGGGTGATTTTCAGAAATATTGGGGGAGCCATGTCACCCCATAACTCCCCATAACTCTATGTTATCTCCACCACTAGCTAAAAATAGTAGTCCATTAGAACCCTATCGGAATAATGTATCCAATGCATTATCCCGTTAGTTTCTAACTACGTTTCAGGGGATGAGTGTAATTATCGATACCATAGGGACCTTAAATTTATAAGCATACCTCGGGGGTGTGGGTGTAATTTACCCAATTACTAATATATTATTTTAGGGATAATTAGTAAAAAAACCCCAATTCATTTACTTATATTAAGGTGGATATAACCTCTTTTTCATTATTAGTGAGAACCCCCTTAATTATTTATTTAAATTAAAATTAATACAATTATTAAGTGTTATACCTATATTATCCTTAATTCTCCAAATCTTATATTTACAAACCCTAGCCATATTGTCTGCAATACACCGTCGTTCTCAAATCCCCACAAACCGCCGTTTTCAAATCCCCATCACGTCTTCTCTTCTTTTCTGGAACCGAAACTCAGTAGTATCGGCTGCGATGGCTGCGGCGATGAAGGTGACGAAGGCGACGCTACATCTCAACAACGACGAGGAAGACCCCTTTCTCTTCTTTCTCGAATTGGGAATCCGACGGATGTGGGGCAAGGAGAGGACGAAGCCTTTCTGAGGGATGAGCAGATCCGCTGGTATTTTTTTCTTTTTTTTTTTTGTTCTTTCGATTTTTGGAAGCATTCCCGGAATCCTCGTCGGAAGATCGTCTCCACCACCGTTGTAATTGAATAGATTGACCTCGAGGAGGAGGTATTGTTCGGAAGGCTCGTTTGTTGAAATTGTGTTCGTGTTACTCAAAAAGATATAGTTGTTTTCGTTACGGATGTAGTTGGTTTCTATAATAGTCGTTTTTGTTGGAATTTTGGTGTGTTTTTTTGCTTTTGCTTCTGTGGATTTCAATAATTTGTAGTTGATTCAATATAGTTGTTTTCGTATAGCAATATAGTTGTTTTTGCATAACAATATTATTGTTTTCATTACTTTTTAGTTGGTTTGAATAAATAGTTGATTTAACAAATAGTTGTTTTGGAGATGTTTTGATTAAATAATTAGTTAATCTTACAATGAAAATAATATAATATATAATTAATTTAATAAATTGTGAAACTGATGTATTATTGTTTTAATACCAATTGTTTTAATAATAGCCGTTTTAATAATAGTCGTTTTAATAACAATCGTTTTATTGGCATATAGTTGTTTAAACTGAAAATTAAAATAATATAGAAAGAGAATATTTACAGAAAAATATTAAAAAAATTAAATTTTTTTTTTTTTAAATTATTATTTTTTAAAGAAGAAATAAATAAATAAATGAAAATTAATATTAAAATATAAAAAATAAAAAAATACATCAAACAAGTGAATAATGGGTAGTGAATAGTGGGAGGGTAAATTTGAGAATAAGAAAAGAATGTGTTTCTCACTAATAAAGAAAAATGACATGGACCCATCCTTATTAAAATAATGTTAGAGGGGGTTCTCACTAATAGTCACATTATTTTAATTATATGTTGTTATGTATTAGCCACCTTAACAAATAATACTTATATTTTGTCAACTTAGTTTTCTTTCAAATTTGATTATGGATTATATATTTCTAATCAATATTTGATTTTTCTTTTTTTTTTTAACAATACACATTCACGTAATTCATCTACATATATATAATATCCTTACAAAAAATCGACTACAGTACGTACCCTCGAGCAAGTCACGCCCCTATAAACTTTTACTATACCATCTAAAATTTGGACCCCCCAACTATATATACATGGTTCCGCCACTGTGTGCGGGTCACAGTTTTCCACCATTATATCGCGTTGTTTTACTTGAATTTGTAACCGTATCAATACAATTTCAATTTCATATTCCGTTGTATTTCTTTGAGAGAGTTCGTCATTAACAATTTTCAACATAAGGATACAAATGAAAAGTTTTACAAAAATTGGACAAACAATTACAAACCACTAAACAGCTCATCACGAGACGCGTAATATTGAGCAAGACATAATATAGATCTCGTTGACACTTAAAACACAAAGACATATACGACCGCCAATACCCAAAACACGAATTAACATATTGAAAATTTATTTAATAAGATACTACCACACCGAGTAAACGTACAAGTGGCCCAATCCATTTCCAACGTGGGATCGTTAATGTGGTTAAAAATTAGATTGTTAACGTACTGGTTTCTTATGTGTTGCAGACGGAGTTTCACAGCATCCACATTGAATTGTCACTCATACGATCGAACCATTTGCTCGGATACTTTCACGATTACGGACTCGAAGGTCTCATGATACTCGAAGCTCGGTCCAATAAAGCCATTAGGAACGTATCGTATTCCATCGCCCATTCAACTCCGTCGACAATGCACTGATTTCTCGTCTTAGGCTTTTTATCTGAGAACAAATATAACGCAATTTGACAACTTAGATGTAGATATTGGGTGTGTGGGGGTAATTAAGACAAGACGTTGCCTACTTTTACAAGTTCTTCCAACTGATATCTGTATAGATTCTTTTGAAGACCATATATTTCATTTTTAAAGTTGTATACAATTCGAGCACGCAAATAAGCCACAACTTTATTTCAGAAAAACTATTTGCTTTAGAAATGAAATATATTCCATCTACTGTGTATTTTGGACGTATACAAACCTTCAATTGCAAGCACTCTTTATAAATGTGTGCCCCATTACGAATCACACACAATCAGAGTGTTTTTACTAGTGTGATTGGGATGAAAATGTTGATATTATTTTCATAGACAATCTCGCGTTTCAAATTTGGCCGCTATAGTAACTGCAAAAAATTCAATTTTGATGGAGTTTTGAATGGATTTTTACTAATGGCTTTTGCTTGCAAAAACTGCAAAAAATCGAGCTCCGGTTTAAAACATTTCAATGGCTTTTGGAGGCACCGGATATCGTTTACAACTCGGATCAAAATGTATTGTGCGCAAGTGATAAGACATGGGGTATGCGTAGGGGTGGAAATTGGAACGGAATTTCCGAATTCCGCCAATTCAGATCCGAAAATATATCCGAATTTGGAATAGTTTTTTTCATTTCGATTACCGATATTCCGATTTCCGATTTTTCCGATTATTTTTTGAATGGAATTGGAATTACATATAAAATTATTGGAAATTCCGATTTCCGATCCGATTGTACTTCCAATATATATATATATATATATATATTTTGGAAGCTTGTTTACTTCTTTTCTCGTGTATTCTTGTAATACTGTTTATATAAGTATTTCACCTTTGAAGGCGGTCCACAAGTATTTACTTGCCAGATACCAAATTTTGTGTTTGCTATGTCAAGTGTTATTTCATCCCATACGACATCTTTGTTTTTTTCTTTCTTTTTTTTTTAATTAGTACTACGAATTCAGAGTCATTAATTATTTCAAAGTAAACTCCGAGGAAAAAAAAAGTTAACCTCAAGTATTAATCAAGTTGAAAAAATTATTTGAACATAATGTATATATATTCATAGTAAGTAATTTTATAAAAAATCACATGTGGGACAATTTTGGTATCTTTATAAGTTTCAATGGGCATAGTTGGAACAATAGAATTTTGAACTTCGAAGGTTAGATCTATTGAATTTATTGTCAAAATTTTGAGGTTTAACGATTCCTTTTATTATTTTTTTAAATAATTAAAAGTTAAGTAATTTAATACCAAAAAAAAAATAGTAGTAGTATTAGAAGAACAAGAAACACTGCACACAAATTTCAATCCTAAATCAACAAGGTAAGTACATATAGTCGTTCTAGTAAATAAGGAAAATAAATAATTAAGGCGTGCCCAACATGGAAGTATTGTGACACATGCAAAATCCTACCATATATATTATATATATATATATCTCCATCTCTGAATCATCTATGTAAACACCTTCAACATCTATCATAGTAAATCAGAAAAAAGAACAGAAGAAAGAAAAGAAAAATAATAATCAATCACACGCCTGAAGGATTATTAATCCAACAATCATAAACACCATGACAAGAAATCCCAAGAACAAAAAGAGAAACACTAAAGCTGTTTCGAGTATGTTCGATAGCATTCCCCATGAATTGGTTTCCGAAGTTTTAAGCCGAGTTGCATCGTCTTCCATCAAGGACATCTTCAACGCCAAATTAAGGTATGTTTATATTATTAACTTCAAGAAACATGTTCTTGCATGATCATTATGGTTTTACGACCGTTGATTTCTTTTCGTTCGTTTTGTTTCTTTTCCGTGTTTTTTTATTTTAGATGTTTAAATTTTCTTTTCGATCTCAACCAATTCTTTATAAACTGAAATTTCAAATCCAGATATTCTGTGGGTTGTCGAGTTTTCTTTTATTAATTATCAATTGATATAATCTTGAGCGATGTGTGTTTGTGCGTGTAATTATCATCTTTAATACCTTAGATATTTATTTTTTTCTAAACATAATTTTTTTTGGGGCACAGCTGCAAAATGTTGAATGAAATCGCGGAAGATACGTACGTGTATCAACGTGTATCGCTAGAAGAGGTTCCGATCATACCATGGAAACCGATAAGCCAAGAACAAGTAACATTCTTGAATACGTGCCTACAGTCCGAAAACCCCGAGTGCTTGTATAGACAAGCAGTTGTAAGTTTCTTGATTTCAAAAAATTAATTACCAACGAACTTTATCGAATTAGTTAATTTACATTAATCAAGATTTAATTAATTTTCTATTTTTTTTTATAAATATTTACAGCTCGACTACTTCAGCAGAACGAATCTTGAATCAACGTGCATGCACTTACGGAAAGCGGTGAAAAACGGCCACACGGACGCTCTGTACGTAACATGCATTGTTTTGCTCTTCAGTGGGGACGAAGAACTCAAGCAACAGGGCATCAAGTTATTGGGGAACATGAAAAAGACGAACGGATTGAAGAGAAGGCTTCGAATTTGCCGCAATAATTTGAATAGCATTCTGAAGATGATTTGGGTGAAGAACCCGGTTTTGCTGGAGCCGCCGGTTTGGTGTACGGCCCAAGATCCGCACCACAGGAAAAGGCGATGGTCTGAAGTAGAGGAAGATGTCACGTGCGAGGCTTGTGTTGCTGATCAAGAGATTAATTTACTTAGTGGTAGATACAATTTTGATTAATCATTTGATTTATTAGCATTATTTGTGAGGTAGCTAGTGTCCATTGTTCCAATTGATAAATTCAAAACTTCAACTTTGTGCTTTTCTATAATTAATGATAAATTCACTTGAAAGCTATGTGATTCTTCCATTGTAGCCTATTTCTGATTTCCCGCTGATTCTCATTCGAATTTTTTGTACTTTGAAATAATATTCCAATTTCTGTATTTTTTTCGAAATTATTTAGATCGGAATCAAAATACATATAAAATTTCCAATTTCGGATCCAACTTTAAGTTACCTAAAATAATTCCAAAAATCCCGATTTCCTAATATTTCACTTAAAAGTATATATATTTGAAAATTTACTAATTCCGTTACCCATCAATGGACTCTACGACACCCGATTTTTCGATATTAAAAACAACCGAACAAATGACAATACTAAGAGAAAATGCACATCAATTAACAGTAAGTAACAGATTATTTATGCAAAATAATTCAGCAGCTAAACACATTACCTCATATATAATTTTCATGTTAATTAACAGTTCAAATCCTACTAATTGCAATTAGTGGTAAACCCAAACAACATAAACCAAAAGCATCACTCAACATTAACTTGGAAAACATCAGTCCTCTCTTCTTCCTTGATTCTAGGAAGGAATACTTTAAGAACTCCATTCTTCATCTCCGCCTTGATACCGTCTGTCCTGTAGGTTCTCTCCGGTAGATCGATTCTGCCGGTGTATCTCCGGCCAGATCCATCTTCCTCGGATTCCTTCTTGCCCTCACCCTTGATTACAAGTGTGTTCTGCTCTACAGAAACCTTCACATCTTCTTTCCCCAATCCAGGCATATCTATTCGAAGGTGGAGACCTTCGCCGGTTTCCTTTGCTTCCCAGCTCCGGCGAAAGGCGGAGGCATAAACAGGTGATTCCGTGAATCGGTCCATCATGTTCAGTATATGGGACAAGTTGCTCCTTGCTGAGAATGGATCAAACACACCTGTATTTACATGCAAGTAAATTCAGTAACAGAGAAACATTACTTTATAGCAAAAGCTATGAGAATTGCATTCCGATGTGAATCTGATTACACAAGCAACGAATAGCTCTCCGACCAACACTTTCCACTGGAATCAATTTCTAGATTGAGCTAGTGATTTTGTGTGCGGCAGATCTGCTAGACTTGGCGATAAATAAATTCAACCGATTTCAGTTTTCAACAACCAATTTCTCACGTGATTTATTTTCCACACAAAAATAGCTCAAAATATCTACGGCGGCGCGCCGAGAATATTTAAAATGCAGTAAAAAAAATGTATGAAATTTCACGACCAGGTTATCCAGCAGAAAACGGAACAGAATAGCAAAATAAGACGAAAACGCACTGCGAATTTCTGAGGGTTTAATAATTGGATGGCAGAAATGTAAGCTTGTCGTATTTATAGAAAATACGCGAATATGTAGAAATTACTAGAGTCGAGAGATATCGAGAAGCTTCCCGAGAATGATCGAACTATTTGGGCCGGATGGGCTTCGGCTTTCTTTTGCAGTTTTAAAATTTCTCCGGCCCAAAATAAATAAATAAAGTGGTTCCATTTAATTATTTAAATTAAGGATGTAGATGTAAACCTTTGTGTTTTTCGATTGCTTTGATTATTGCAATATGTTCTTGCATGGGGTTAGGGTTCTTAGAGCATCTCCGACCGCTTTTATCATTTTTTCACCAAATCCCATTTATGGTGGTGAAAAAATGGGTTCCTCTCCCACCGGTAACACACTATTTTACTCTTCCACCATTTTTAGTGGAAAAATGGTGGTTTTGGTCTCCAATGGGTATCACTAAAATTTAGACCAAATATTAAAAGAATAATATTTCACCATTTCACCACTTATAGGAAATGGAATTTGGTTTGGTCTCCAATGGCATTTCACCATATATACTCCAAAACTATAAATCTAATGTTAATCGTAATTTTATAATATTTTATTTCCTAAATATTAATTATAGATCCAATGCTAAGTAATAAATTTTCTTAACTAAATAATTTAAAAATTATGTTATTAATTATAAAAAATTGTCTAAACATGAAATAACATGAACTCAAATTATTTTAAATATAATAAAATCATACATAAACAATTGAAGCTATGTATTTTATGTTATTTTATGAGCTATGTATTTCAATTTAAATGTCCCGTTCTGTATTTCATCAATTAAAGTGTGTTTTGTTAATCATTCTATTGTTGCTTATTGTATCTTATTAATAGCAATTAGCGTATTAGTTAAGTAAAGAAATAAACTAATAAACATTGATACCAACAAAATAAACAAATTAATTAAAAATAAGCATATTTATATTTTTAGAATTAATGTTTTGTTAATAATAACAAATGTATTTATATTTTAAAAACTAATTTAATAATTAATACCAATGTATTTACGATAAATATGCTAATAAGTTGGTAAGCGGGTGCAATTAGTTAAAATATTCATTTTATATGGTACTTAATAAAATGGTGTTAATTACGCCAAATCCTATTTTCACCTTTATATTTGGTAGGAAAAATAGAATTTGGTGGAAAAAATAGGTAAATGGTGGACCGGTGGGAGATGAAAGTTCCTTCACCAAAACATTTGGTGGAAAAATAGGATTTGAGTATTTCGTGATATGGGGGTTGACCACGGTGGGAGGCTAAAACCAAATCTCTATAATTTTAGGTGTAATGGTGATATAGGAATTTTAAGTGGAAGGCTAAAAACAACTAAGTTAGATAAAAAAATGGTGTCATGGTGTCCGGTCGGAGATGCTCTTATCTCACCCTCACTAATTTTACAATAGATCAATCGAATTGAAGCTGATTTTTTATGTATTTTGCTTTTACTACTATTTAGGATGTACTATTAAAGAATGTTATTTACAATGAGATGGACATTTAAAAAAAAATCCACTTTACAATATTTGGCCATATTTCATATTGAAATAAAAGTATTAGAATTAATTAATTCCTTAATAAATAAGTAAAATATTATAATTACATCTCTGGTAGTCCTAGCCTTAACTAATTAGTACACGTCTTGACCTTCTCCATTGTAGCTTGATCTAGCTCGATCTACTTTCGTGTATTTTTGGTTTTGTTTCTTAAATTTCGAGGACTCTCCCAACCCATACATGAGCTGTGGTAGATTCAACATCGCATGTTAACATTGAATCGAAAATTTGCGAAAATAGTGTGCAATTAAACTAGTGCAAAGAATTAAGTAAACGACCATTATCGAGAAACTATGTTAAATCGAACAAATGCAACAGCTGTACGAACAGCCGAATTGGCATTATATTATACACCATTTTTCGCCAAGAACAAATATACCAGAAATTAACCCCTGAAGTAGCACCGAATACAAAGAAACGAAACGGAACACATCCATGCGAAAATTAAATCAGCATCAAATTAAACCACATTGTCTCGAGTTATTAACAATTCCACTTCACCATATTTAACAATTGTTAGAAAGAAACTACATCACTCCACATTGACCTGGAAAACATCAGTCCTCTCTGCTTCCTTGATCTTGGGAAGGAACACTTTGAGAACCCCATTCTTCATCTCCGCCTTGATAGCATCCGTCTTGTAGATTTTATCCGGTAAATCGATTATGCTGGTGTACCTAGGCCCAGCCTTATCATCCTCGAAATCCTTATTGCCCTCACCTTTGATAACAAGTGTGTTCTGCTCCACAGAAACCTTCACATCTTCCTTGACCAATCCAGGCATATCCATTCGCAGATGAATCCCTTCGTCAGCTTCCTTTACATCCCAGTTCCGGCGAAGCCCCGGAATCAGCAACAGGTGACTCGATGTATTGGTCTATCATGTTCAGAACCTGGCTCAAGTTGCTTCGTCTCGAAAATGGATCAAACACCCCTGTATATGCAAGTAAAATCAGTAACATAATTGTTAGCTGGTAACTACACTTTGATATATGAAATAGATCGAACTTGAGATTTGTTGGGCGTTCAATCCGATTTAAGTTTCAACAAGGAACTATTTCACATAAATTATCCAGATGATTCTTTCTCCACACAATTAGTGTTGTTCCCGATACATAAAACGGGTAGTGAATTTAGTAAATTGGTTGAATAAATTAATTAGTGAAAATACGGAAAGATTAGCCGAGGCGAGTTGACTCTGTCCTTAAGACGAAATTTCCCCGCAACGGTGCTAACGGATTAAATGGAAATCGTCTCCCAAGATACAACGGCTAAACTTGGAATAGGAGCACTCCAAATCCCAAGTACGACGAACTGTACTTTGTGTAGAACTTTTCGAGAGAATCTGTGAAGGGTTGGCTTAATATGTAGTAGGCTTGTTTTTTGGATTGAAGTGAGGAATTTTGGGAAAGTTAGGGTCTATTTATAAGGTTCGAAAAGTAGTGTCCTTTGGAGCAAAAAGGTACCTTTTGTTTTGAATGGTTGCACCATTTCGAGTTGAGCCAATTGGGAGTGGTTGCACCATTTCGAGTTGAGCCGAATGGTTTGCATTGGTTCGGCCGCACCAATTCAGACCAATCAGACCAATCGAGATGGGCTTCAAGTAATAAAGGGCCCAATGGGTTAAAAACCCATGACCTAATGTTTTTGGCCCGTCCCAATATTTTGATATATATACAGCTCAGTACTTCTCTACTTTTCCAATGTGGGATAACTCAAATCCCACTTTCCTTATATTTTGGACTAGTAATTTTTTCATTCACCACAAAATTGGTTCTAATCCAAAATTCATTTATATACTCAATTAGACCGTACAATAACATTGATAAAAAATTGTTCATGACTCAATTTTTAACCAATTTTCCCAACAATCCCCCACATGAATGAAAACGAGGGCGTCGATTCTCTCTAGAGTTCCCGCGAATAGTATTGCATCGGGATAGGTAGCATATAGCTTTGAACCTTCCGTAGTGGAGTTACATCGGATTTACTAGGCTGAGTAGTGAACGCGATGTCTTGAACTGTCAGCCGTTCGTGTAAACCAAGACAATGCAACCCACACAATACTATTCTCACATTTCCTTAGTTCTCATGATTGTGTCCGTTTTGGCCATGGACACACATCTTGGATTCATAAGTGTTTGTCAAGTTTTTGAAGCGGCCCTCACTTCATACACTTACATAGGTGATCTCCTATTAAAGGTATCCTGCCAATACCTCACCTTTTGTTATAAGGTTTTGGAATCATTAAAAGCTTTCGCTTATCCTTTACCCTCTCTGCAGGCAGCACTAATGTCTATCACGGGAATGAGTTGGAAATATATTATTCCATAGGAATATACACTCCTTAGTGCATCACTGAACTTTCTTAGCTTAGTTGTCCCTTTTGAACCAGTTCTTGGGATCTCCAGTCAGCATGGTTGGGTTACCACCAAGATTGTCCTTAATTTATGGGTTTTAATCTCACTCCCCTAGACAGGCAATATGTTTGATCTCTTTAGTTGACTTTTAGTCGCGGATCCGCTATTAACCATTGATTTTCATAATCAATGTTATATTATTTCCTTTGAGATCAATTGCCTAATGGTCTTATGTGTACGAGTGTATCGATACTTGCCATTATACATGTCGTTTGTGCCCTTAACGTAACCGATTGGTTATCACAATTTATTCATAATTGTAGACACCGACTTAGTCCAACACGGAACATCCTCCAATAATTTTATGAAGTTTATTCAACTTCTTTTCTAACCTTATCTCAAGTTATACATTCGAATTCGACCATGAATCGAGCTATTCAATTTTGTTTGAGGATTTCCAAGATACATAATCTTAGTGGACTCATACATCCAATGTTCCTTCCTAATACAATTGGATATTTTCTTTAATGTAATCCATTTAAAGACGATACTTAGATTACCTAAGAACCCTTATAATATCATTGAATGATTATTTATTTTGGAATTACATATTTACTAGTTTGCAATTCATTATGCTGCCAAACTATCCAAAAATATTTGTAATTGAACCATTCTTCATCATTATTTTTGGCAAGGTAAACCCTTGGTCTTTAGATAACTAGATCAATTTTCTAGTAGTGTCTCAACATGAGACTTTCAATAAGACTATCTTTGTCTTAGTGATTTTAATCTATAAGATTACATCCTCTAGACCCTCGTCTTTTGACATCAAAAATTTTATTTTTACTTTTCCAATATTTTCTCAACGTTCAAAATAGTATCATGATCACTATCTCATGATTATAATGTCGTCTATAGACATATACTTCCATGTGCTTTTAATATAAACACACTGGCCACACTCGTTATTACTAACACAATTTTATCAAATATTACTTTAGAATATTTCCATAGCTATTTAATTTAGCTTGATATTACAATGTTATAAATAATCAAGATTTTTCCATAGCTATTTAATTTAGCTTTATTGGACCACCCTTAATCATTCATTTGAATAGTCCATCGAAACCTTAATGGTTTACTACTTGGAAGAAGACAAACTAACTTCCACGTACATTCTTCCAATGTAGACAATATTTCAATAATTGTCCTTTGTTCATTTTATAACTCATAAATTATAAAATCAAATCAAAATCAAACATATTGATTTTCTTTGTCATCTTGTTGTATCTTGGTTGTTCATCACTTTGATGATTTACCAATCACACATATTTTAACTTGGTTATTCATCACTTTGATGATTTACCACTTAGACATTTATTAGTTCTCTTATTTAGAACTTATTTATTTTCTTATTTTACAAGAAAAATATAATGTAATTTGCATC